CTCTCTTCTCTCTCTCCCCCTCTCTTCTCTCTGTCCCCCTCTCTTCTCTCTGTCCCCCTCTGCCTCTCTTCTCTGTCCCCCTCTCTCTCTTCTCTCCCTCTCTCTGTCTGTTTTTTTTTCCCCTTACCTTTTCTTTTTCGGTTTCTTTTCACTCCCGTCCTGCTTTTTCTGTGCCGTATGAAAAGTGTTCTGTCTGGCTTTTGAACTAGGAATGTGCGAGAGAGGCCTGACTGAGAGCTGTGTGGCTCCCTTTTTTTTTACCTTTGTGTTTGCAGATGAAACTCCCCAGCTCAGTTGGACAGAAGAAGATTAAAGCCTTGGATCAGATGCTGTCAGAACTCGGAGTAGGTGAGCCCGGAGGACGTTGGGAGTGGGGGTTGCGAAGGGGAATATAACGTGCATGCCGAGAGCTCTTTTGTAGTCCCGATGGACTGTGTGTTTTATTATTCCCCTAATACAGAGAGTTTTTCGGCGATCGCGGTGTACACGCCATTTATAAAACATTTTTCATCTGATGTAAAACCGGATAGAAAGAGATTTCCCCGTCTGATGCGGCCGCTTTTCACGTACGGCGGATAAAAGGCGGCTCGGGGAGGAGACACAACAACTTGCTGTTTGTTATCCGCTCCGCCATCGTCCACTTTTCTCTCTCCCCGCTGAAAGTGGAAAGCGGGATTAACCATTTAACGAAAGGACCGCTCCACTTAAATAGAACACAGTGTTGTTGTGGGCGGAGTGACCCGGGAGGATATTCGCCTTCAGAGTTACCGTTCACACTCTGCTGATTGTTACATGTCGGCGTTCGCTGACGCCCGTAGTGTCATCAGCACTGGGTGCAACGATTAAAGCTGAACTCCAAACACAAAACCTTTTTTTATTTTAAAAATATATTTCTCAATAGCCAGAAAGTATATAAAACCACTTTGTGTGCCCCAAATGCAATTGCAAACCCAGCTTTCACCTTGAAAAAGCAGCAGTGAGCCCCATCATTGTGCTGTGCAGAGGGCAGAGCCTGCAGGCTCCACCCACTACAGGCTGTCTGCAGAGAATAGGAGGGGGTGGAGACGAGACCAGTCACCCTGCGCAAGGAAAGAGAGCAGCAGTGACCAGTCTTATTACAGGAGGGGGCGGAGACAAGACCAGGCACCCTGCACAAGGGGAGAGAGAGCAGCAGTGACCGGTCTTATTACAGGAGGGGGCGGAGACAGGACCAGTCACCCTGCACAAGGAGAGAGATCAGCAGTGAGCGGTCTTTATTACAGGAGGGGGCGGAGACAAGACCAGTTACCCTGCACAAGGGGAGAGAGCAGCAGTGAGCGGTCTTTATTACAGGAGGGGGCGGAGAAAAGACCAGGTACCCTGCACAAGGAGAGAGAGAGCAGCAGTGAGCGGTCTTTATTACAGGAGGGGGCGGAGAAAAGACCAGGTACCCTGCACAAGGAGAGAGAGAGCAGCAGTGAGCGGTCTTTATTACAGGAGGGGGCGGAGAAAAGACCAGGTACCCTGCACAAGGAGAGAGAGAGCAGCAGTGAGCGGTCTTTATTACAGGAAGGGGCGGCGACAACACCAGGCACCCTGCACAAGGAGAGAGAGCAGTGACTGGTCTTTATTACAGGAGGCGGGCGGAGACAAGACCAGTCATCCTGCACAAGGAGAGAGAGCAGTGACTGGTCTTTATTACAGGAGGCGGGCGGAGACAAGACCAGTCATCCTGCACAAGGAGAGAGAGCAGTGACTGGTCTTTATTACAGGAGGCGGGCGGAGACAAGACCAGTCATCCTGCACAAGGAGAGAGCAGCAGTGACAGGTCTTTATTACAGGAAGGGGCGGAGACGAGACCAGTCGCCCTGCACAAGGAGAGGGAGCAGTGACTGGGGGTTGGATGCTGGTGTTGACTGTCCAAGTTTGGGGTGGAGGGTGTTCAGGGAAGCAGATGGGAGGGGGGCCGTATTTCAACTGGCCAGCAGGGAGTAGTG